AGAGTAGTCAAAAAGCACTCATTCGATTATTTGAATATTTGATCATGCCCTGTTATCCGGTGATTTGAGTATTCGAATATTTGAGACCCCTACCTCTCGAATGATTGAATTCGAAAATATATTAAAATGGCAATTCGAATATTATTCTTTCGTTTGATTATTTCTACTACGAAGTTTATGCAAAAATTTTCAGATGATTTTATGATCTCGAGTGTGCCGCCAGTTCGTTCCCGTCTCGAAGAGCAGCACTACGCACAGCGTGTAGCCATTTAATCTTGTTTTCTTTCGCCCACGTTTATGGTTCCCAGTTCTAATTGCAAGATCGGAACAGTTCAAAAGATGTTTGTTTCTAATTCATTTTCTAGGACTTCCCACGTACTTACCTCAAGGTTAAGCTGTTGGACTCAGAATACAGTTGAAACATTTCAAATTCGAATGAATAAGTATTGATATATATATATTTTTTTTTTGAATCGCTATCTCAGTATACATTAGAAGTCGAATATACGAACCCCTGGATATTCGACTACTTTAACCACCGAATAATTAGGCATTCGAGTACTCGATCAGTAACTATTTATATATTTTTCGTTTTCAACTATTCAAATGTCTATATAATCGAAATATTTAAAATACTTTATTCGAACACGCTTGTTGGATCTCGAACTTACAATAGTTTGTTCGAATGAATGAATTCCAATGGCTTTCCAAAACTCTAACAAAGGAGTACTGCTCGAGCCTCAAATTTACCATTATTTGAATTTGAATATCTAAGAAGTTGTTTAGAAGTATTCGACTACTCGAGTAATTGAATAAATAAACCCTTTCGAAATATTCTAGTCAAAATAATTGCGTTTTAAATATATTATTACCGAATCGTTGAATTTAATGTATAGACCTATTCGACCTGGACTAAAGGTCAAACATTTATAAACTATTTGGGCTCATAAGTTTATTAAGCACGCATCACCATAGTTTGCTTCTTTTGTGTTCACATAAGCTTCGCTT